TAAGGGATGAAGGAGATGAGAGGTGGGAAGAGGACCGTCGTTCGCGCCAAGCGCGGCGGTTCAGCTGGGCTCAGCAGTTAAACCCTGCCCTGCTAAGATATGGCATGAAGTTTGCGATGCGACGATGCTCACCTGGAAGCATTTGAGTAACTCGCGATCCCTTAGCCTCCTGGGCAACTGTGAAAGAAGCGAATGGTAGCCTATGCAATGATACTGACCGCGAATATTGCCTTGCGTAGCTGGGCAATTTCAATGTCGATTCTTTACTTTTCCCACACAATCTGGTTATGAGCATGAGTTCATATAGATCGCAAAATGGCCAAGGCTATCGAGGCGCCCCTAACCCAGGTAGTATCATGTTCATGTAGATTATAAAGCCTCACACGCTAGTTGCCTGACCATCCAGCCTATGGTTCGCGCGGTCTCAGATCTCGGCGCTTTGGGGATAGCCTGAAAGACAGCGGGCTGCGCAGCTAGGGTGTGCCGCGGCACCGTCCCGCATGGCGGCACAGTCTACCTCCTCCCCTGACAGGCGCGGCGGCAGAGGCTCAACGGTTTTCGGGCGTTTCTCACGATTATTGTCAGATCACGGCAACCCAATCAGATAAAGACGTGAAACCGACCGCACCGTGCAGACGTGTGTACCGTCTACAAACCACCCGCCCGCCCCGATACCGGCAGACCCATGGCGACACCAGCCATGGACAGGCAAGCGACCAGGTGGTGTTTTTCGAAAGCAATCTCGAGTACAACACGCTGGCGTGTAATCGACCAAGCGGTGACCACGGAAATGATGCTGTCGCGGACGTAAAGCCCGGCTCACGGTGACTAGTATCCACCCAAAACATTCCTTGTTTCCTAGGGGCTTGGTTGATATCGCTCAAAACGTTCATCACTTCAAAAGCCGCCGTATTCGTCCGTACAAATTGCCGTGCTCATATGTCGGTATATCAACGGCTACAAGTTGACATTGAAGAGCGAGTTCGCGCTGGCGGTGATCCGCGTGGAGGATATTTAAGACCTTTACTGAGCACGCAGCAGCCGAGGGGGTAGCCAGACGCGACGGAAACTTTTCTCCTGAGGCAACACAAAACAATTTTATCGGCACTTATATCCGTTTCTGTTCGCAGCTGGCTTTCCGCCTTCGAATGACACAACTGTATTGATTAATTCACACATTGTGTGTATCATATACGAGCACGGCGGATATTTCGAGGCGTGATGGGCCATCCGGTAGGCCGGACAATGTTTTGTGTCAAAAGCGGTTATAGGCTTCACACATACAGAGGCCACTTGGTTACGCAGTTGCGCATACAGACACCACCCAGGTTGGTTGCGCAGTCTACCTTCTCTCCAGACATCAGGCACACCTAGACTGTGCCGCAACACCAGTCCGCTTGGTTGCGCAGTCTATCTTCTCTCCAGACATCAGGCAGACATCAGGCACACGTAGGCCGTGCCGCGGCTCCACCCCACTTGGCGACGCAGTTTACCTTCTCTCCAGACATCAGGCGCGGCACATTTTAGCGCACAACGCAGAGCGTTGGCTGCACTCCATGTCTGTGTCATTACCGAGAACTTGCTCAGAACTTCTTTCATTACTTGAGACTCACTTCCTGGTGGGTCGACAGGCAAACACCCACGGCTGCATTGATGCTCGCACGATCGCCATGCGGTGGCGCCCGATCTGCCGGGTCGGCGCGTTTTATGAATGCGTGTCTGATTACGGTATTTTCCGCAGTTACGAAGATTTAGGGACACTTGGCTGCCAGGGTTAATTGAATCGATGTGGAGCGTACACGATTTACAGTGCTCGACGTGTCGTCAATTCATGCATACATATTCATTCCGAGCGTTCGAGAGTAGAAGCGTCCAATCCTCAGGCTGCGCCCGCGCTCTGACGGTGAAATATACCGTCGCATTCAATTGGCATGAATCAGCAGTATAACGCACGCAGTCGGAGCTGGCAGTGATGCAAGCCATCTAAAACCGGCCCCGAGTGGCAGGTGGCCGCACGCTGTGAGTCCCTTTACGTGCCGCAGTTAAAGTGAGAGCGCCGCCGTAGTGAACTACATGAGTGGTAGGCTATCCCAAAAACCAGCCTTGATCGCCGCACGTATCGCTTAGGTAAGCCCAAAAGGCGGCGGCAATCGCCCCTCAGCAGCCTGGAGGCTGGAAAACGTCGGAAAGGCACGTCCTGGAGGGAAGGACGAAATATATCACTCGCCTCCTTTCCCTTCACCAGGTTTGCTCGTAGTGAGGCTGGACCCACGACATTTCCGGGGGATGCTATTTGCATGGGCACCCTCTTTAGTGCCTGCTCGCAAAAGCCATGGGCTAATGATCCTGTTGGCCAACGAGGTCACCAATGAAACCAACCGTTATCGAATATTATCAGCATAGAAGATGTCATTTCATTCTCACAGTCCTACGGTCAACAATGATCTTAAAGGCGACGTTTTAAGCTTGCGAATGCTGTTATATGGAGGTAGTTATGGATGGGATCAGCGCTGAGGCTGTGAGTGGCTCAGCGGTCGGGCAAGAGCCTGCACGAGCAACGAAGCGAGACTTCTAATTAAGAACAAGCCTTTGCTAGGCCTGGTATGGGGGACGTAAACATTGCTTGCGCAAAGGGATGCAGCAGCGGCGCCAGCTCGTTTGGCTGAGCAGAGCTCTCTGAGCCTGGCATGCGGTATCTAACCGACAGGAGACTGCAGATGACTATCTGCAGGTGAATGTAAGATGAGCATGAGATGGATATCGTACTCCATGGTCGCACCAGGCCCGACGCCAGGCCGTTTAGCGCGCGTGTTAAAGGAAATGTTCCGCATTTGAAGATATTGAAGCAAAGATCAGACAATATGAAATGAACTCACTTATGATTGCTGGTATGCTATCAAGTGCTGGTATGCTATTTGTCCGTCCGGTGGCTCAGTTGGTTAGAGCGCCTGCCTTCCGATCCACCCACCCGTGGCGGGGTGGGTTCGAGTCACTTTAGGGCGCTCGCTATTTGCCCTTGACAGGTATGGCCTGCGGCCGGTGGCAGCGGTCGCGCTAAAGGTCAGTTGACGTCAGAGGGCAGGACGGACCGTGCCGAGCATTGCGGCACGTTAAGCTTTCGCCACAAAATTCTGCCGTTGACATGGAATTGCGCGATCGGATGGTAGGGTCAGGGCTCACACAACAAGCACTGCTTAGCGTGAGCTCTGATC